CCACGTTTCCCAAAGCCATTCACAGATGACCCAAAAGGCACCACACGCGGAGGGACAGGATACAAACACTGCACACTGGACAAAATTTGCTGGCAGACAAGATACCTCAGCCTGACTTCCACCTGAAACAGAATAAATAAACAGAAATGATACACAATACTGTATTTACTCAAGTACCACGCACACCTTTTTTCTCAAATTTCACAAGAAAAAAAGGGGTGCGCATCATAAGCGGGTACAAATTTTTCAAGAAGTTTTAGGAAGTTATGTGCACATTATACTTAATTATAATGGAGAAATGTTGAACAAATGTAACAAGAAAACTTCTTTTTACTGAAAAAGTTGACAATTGATCCAATTTTTTCTCAATTCATGTCTAGAGTCAAATTTTTTGAATTCATTTTCAAAATTTTGTGGTTTTAAATTTACTAAAAATTGGGGTGCGTGTCTTACTCAGGTAAGATTTTAGCCAAATTTCTAACTGAAAAACCCCTGTGCGCTCCTTACTTGAGGGCGCAAGGTACTCAAGAAAAAAAGGTAATACTGTACATGAAAATGCTTGAGCTACAGCAGTGAAAAATAGAATGAATGCATTCTCTCAACAGTTATAGCCACTGACTAAGAAATATTTAAAGAAGTTTAATGACTAGTCAAATAGAAATTCAATTATAATTTTTCAGATTTGGAGTGATTTCCAAAATGACCCATCAGACAATTGAGAAGTTACAATAGTACAAGTGGACACACTCTATAGAAAAATGTTCTTTGTATAAGGATTTTTTGGTCCCAAATAATTTTCTCCACAGGTTCTCGGAGTTCTCCACAACGAAATTCTCTTTACAATGATTCAATTCTGGTCCTTTCAATTTTTCATCTAAAAAGAAATTAAACATGACCAGACAAAAATTGTTGCACAGAGAATTTCATAACTGTACAACGAAATCCACATAAAAAGATGAAAAATCGTTGAACAAAGAATTTCGTGGTAGAAACGAAATTCACCGGATCAGACAAAAAAATCTTGGCACTGAGGAATTCGTTGTAGAGGCGAAATTCAAAGGACCATAAAAAAGTTATTGTACTGAGAATTTCTTTGTAGGGAACTCCTATAACCTGATGGACAAAATTCTCCGTAAAACGATTCTTGTGTGGTTCTGTGAATTTCGTTGTAGAGAGAACCGACCTCCATTACCATATTGACGGTTCTTATTGTGAAACTTTTGATGGTGTATTTTATTAAAAGTTGATTTATCTGAAATTACATCATTCAGACATCAAGTCACTCAAGGCTTACGAGAAAATGCTCAATTTCAATGTTACTTTGGTCAAAAGATTTTTTATTCGTAATAAAGCGTCCAGTCAAGTTTAGGAAGCATTGGGTCAAGTTGAAGCAAAAACAAATGCTGTAGGAATTCTCGCCTCGGTCATTTTGGTCAGGTCAAACAAGAGTCGCATCTGCGCTGACATGTCAGACAAATCAGCCAGCTTCTCATAAACGCTCTGCTCCTCCAAGGGCTCAATGAAATCAACAACTCGCGACTTGAATTCAGAGTCACAGTCCTTGGCAATAGTCGGTGATTTCAAATTTCGTTTTCCGAACCACAGGAACGGAGATTTGAGGGAAATCACGTTGGCTCCAGGCTGGAATCCCGCATCCTTCAACACAGCTTTGCATCCTTCCGCATCTTCGAACTCCACCAACAATGACTCCTAAGAAATATTGAAATAGGCTTTTAAAAAAAAAAAGGTTTCCATTTTCTATGGCACAGTGTGATTTCCTGAACTGATGGAGAAAATTAAACCAGAATATTCACTGCAATTGAGCCAGGCCTTGTTCATATTTTTCTTTACAGGTCAAGCGACCATAAGATTCAAAGATGTGACTCGTGTTTCACGGCGCAACTTTCTTGGATTGACCCAAGAAAGAAGCGACACCTGCCCGACATTTTGCAAAGCTCGAAAGGGGCGACTCACAAAAAATGGGAAGGGATTCGTCATAAATAAATTTAACTCACTCGTGGTTCCGCGGATTTCGACACAAAATGGAAGAGACTGCGCACTTTTCCGTATCTTTCGACAACACTGACCAGTCCGTCACTAGACTGCGCAGATTTCACTTGAACACATATTGATCTTTCACTTTCTTTGATCCTTTCCGAAAGGTTGACTTTAAATGCGTCTCCGACGCATGATGTGGAATATGCGCGCAAACGTGGCAACGCGCGCCGCCACTTGCACCATGAACAACTTTTCATCTAAAACTGAGCACCACAACATCAAAGTAAAATAGAAAAATTAGCACAAGCAAGCGAATGGGAGGAAAAGAAACAAAAGTTACTAATTCGAGACGCCTCCGATAGAAGTCTTTCCTCACTCCTTTCATCGTACTTTCTTCTTTCTTTTTGAACACCGTCACGATCCCAACACAGTAAAAGGTTGAAAAGTCCACCAACAAATTCAGGTTCAACTGGATTTCAAGGTAATTTATCGATATAAAAGGATATGGATTAAATTTCCGAACTTACGTTTTGGTACAAACTTGTTTTTCTACCCGCTCACGAAAAAGATACTACTACCGAGTCAGGATTAATGTTTCGGCCAGAAACCCAACTTCAACAGAACAGGTTTAGAAAATCGGATTTAGGAGAGGAATATCAGAAGTCTCCACTCAGATTTTGTTTTTTTCACAGATCCCCAAAATTTACCGCAACATTCAGCGTCGCACTCGCAGATCTTCGATACAAAAGATTGACTTCTTGTTTTCGTAAGAATTGGAAAACGGCGCCTTAAATTTGCATAAAAACAGAGGCCACCTTCCCAGGAACACTCAACCACTTTTCTCAATTTTTCAAAAATCCAAACGAAGTTTGTCACGAAGTCTTCTTTCTCGGCAAACCTTCAAACAATAAAAAAGCATAATTCAAATATGAATGAAACGAAAGTCTCATGAAATAGAAAATTCTTACCGTCATCGGGAACAGTTTCTGGTACGAAGTCGGTATCACGGTGATGATTCCAGCGAAAAAGCACAAATATCACAAATGCTAACATAATCATCCATGACTTGAAGATTGCACCCAGAGCCACTGTGTATGGTTCAATTACCCATTCATGAAGAGAATTCCACATTCCATAAAAATAATCCATCTTTCGCCTTTTCGCACTCAGACGCGAAACTCGATCCGGCACAAAAGCACCCTTAATCCTGAAAGATATAAAACTCAAAAGATATAATTCAACATGAAGAAAATAGTTCATCCTAATTTGCATAGGTTTTTCATTCGTGAAGCTGATCCTGGAAGTTCAGTACATCTGCCAATCAACATCGAAAGATACAATTTTCACCTTGATCTCATTTCATTAATACTACCCTTTCAATGTATGGTTATGAAATGTTTACACAACAGAAAAAATCTCTCTGTTGACGAATTTTCGTGGAGGTGAAAATTTAGATTGTTTCATTTACACGATTTCGTTGGAATTTGCGTTGGAAACTTGAAAATTTAAGTTAATTTTCGTTCTGTTATAATTTAATTTCGACGAAGTACTGTATTTTCGACGAAGACCAGGAGCAGTTTCACGAGAAAGCACCAATGGGACATAACGCTCATTCTAAATTTCGACGAGCATTTTCACTGACTCGGGAATTTTCATAACTAGATGAACACCTCACCAGACATCTACAGTAAAAAAAAAAAATAGGCCACACTCTTTAAACAACCACATTTCATTGCTCTGAGATTCAATAAAACCAACTCCTCGTGCGATGAAACGGTAGCTTCAGATCTCCACCAGGTTTTTGGCTCAGGTCCCACAAATGATGATCCAGCAACGCGGAATTAACTGAACTCACCAAACCCAAATCTCCCGAAGTCACCATCAGTTCGATCACAGCTTCTTTCAGCATCTCCACCGCATGAATCGTGCACCCGCGAATTTCAATCTCTTCCACCGAACCCGAGGATATTTCCGCACCTTTCTCCAGTAACTGACGCAACACTTTGTCATATTTGAGTATCTTTAGCGAATGAAGAATCTGCGGAACACGATAATCCGCGAAGGTGGTTAGGTACCCGATGTCTTGGAAGTTACCAGGGCCTTGTCCATCGAAACACGCCCAGAGATCCGACACGAAAATTTGAGATCTCTTGTAAATTCCAACCTTCTGGCCGTGGAACCTGAAGGAGTCCTTGTATGAGGTGAAGTTCTCAACCACAAGCTTCACCAAGTTCTCAGCGCTCCCATTCGCTTCGTAAACCATGTTTCCCGCAGAACCACAAAACTTGTTCTTCAGAACATTCCCAGCATCTCGTAAAGCATCCAATCGCTCCTTCAGCAATGGAACTGGCTTCCCATCGGCAGTGCGTAACACGGAGTTCAACGTGTCTTCTGAGATCTGAGCATAAAACTCCGGAGATGTGATCTTGATATCATCCTCCACAGCTCTCCGTAATGCGGCACATAGACCCATGTACCCAGAATATGTTTTCCCGCGGAATGCGACGCGATATGGAGAAGCATCCGCGTCGTCATACCAAAAACAAAAGTTCAACGTTGAACAAACAAAGATCCAGTCGACGGTGTCGGGATCTGTCGGAGATGGATGAAGATCTGTCTGATCGTACCGGCTTCGAAAAGACGAGGAACGAAGCGATGCGAGCAATGTTGCGGCAGCTGCCTCCATTTCCGCTTTATCTATAGAAACCAGAGTGGAATTCTGGTGAATGAACCTGGCTGCTTCCCGCGGAGGTAATTCGTCTTCAGACGCCATCGTCGCGGCGGGGAGAAACGAGATTCCGGCTTGAACACTGCAAAAATCGAACTTTCGTACCTTCATTGCTAACAATTAATGAGTTAAATGCTTCACTTCATGCTTAATTGAATTAAAAGTGATGAAACGCACTCGCAGTAAAGCTTAGGCCGCGGCAACTTTCGCAACATGGGTTACACTCGAAATCTCAACATTCTTCGAAATTCTGCCGACACGACAGAGTGCAACGCCATGACAGCTTTCATGGAGTTCTCGGTTGCATAGAGCTTGAAGATTTCTGGAAACACTTGTTGCAACATTATGCTATCTGGAACCCAACTGCAGCATGAAAAAATGGCGGTTCAAATAGAATGGAAATGTCTACAGCTGTGGAACACTCCAAACAAATCTCAGTAAACACAGCGAATTCTTTTACACAGCAAACATTTATTTCAATTCCCAGCCATTTTGTTTACAAATAAAATTAAATACACCCAACAGCAATAGAAACGGTTTCTCAATCACCCGCACATGTAATCCATTTGCACCACATATTCAAGCGGAAATGCTGACCTCTATTTCTTCCCAAGCGGCTTACACGTATTCTTCTTTGGCTTTCTTGAATCCCTGTTCACAATTAAATGATAACAGGGTTGAAGAGCAATTCATCATTTTTATGTACTTCATTGAAAGTCTTACTTGTTCTTTTTGTAAAACTTGGATCCCAGGAGAGGAGAGACGAAGTGCTTTGGCTGACGTACCCTGAGAATAGAAGCAGAAAGATATTCAGTCAAAGTATTCTGGCAATTATGCAATAGAACATAAACAGATGAGTCAAAACTTATCACATACATTATAGACACAAATTAACACAATTGACTCACAGCAGGGACAATCCATTTTGTCCAACTATTAAAAATCTTCTTTCAAAAGCTTATATTTGCAAGTAACCTCAATATGACCATGTTTTGCCCTGAATATGCACTTGGGCCACATAGGGAATGTTTTATAATTCTTTCCACCTGGGGAATGCTTTGTACTTCCTTTCATGGGTTCCTCAAGGTGTTTTACTGTAATCAGATTTTAATGCTGAACATTATACTGTTCATATTTCATGGAGAGATTAGTGAAATGTCAAATATATTGACCAAAGGCATTTGCTTCTACTTTAACAGACAGAGATCATAGGATTTGAATGAGATTTTTGGGTAAACTTTGCAGAAAAAAAAAATATATATATAGAGTCCTATGCATACTCACTCAGCTTTCATGAACTGTTGAACACTCATCCCATTTGTGAGCAATCCCTGGATGAATGGCTTTCTTGAAACTAAGCTTTTATCTTCAATTACTTTCAACCAAGACACTGCACAAGATTTCTCCTTCTCAGGTGTTTTCTCAACCCTGAAAATAACAAATCGAAAAATGGCTGATCAAAGAAGAGTTTCAGTCTAATTTTCAAATTCATAATTGCTGACTCAGCAGTTGATGGTGACTCAGAAACTGTTTCCTCCTGGTTGATCACAGCCTCTTTCCTCTTCTTCTTTTTCTTCTTCTTCTTCTTTGGAACGTCATCAGCTGTTGGTGTAAGCTTGCTGTTCATTAGAGGATTGCTCTCGTTGCACAAAATCTTTGAAGAACAAGGTTTGGGCATCTCAACAACTTTTGGCCTGATGAAGCAATGAAAATTCGGTTTCATAAATTACGACATTTTCAACTCACAGTTGACAGCATTCCATGGTTGAAAAATGGAGAGATCAGACAAAAAAGACACAATGCATAGGCATACCCTCTCAAAACTCCATTTTAAAATTTCAACACACCGCAGATTGTTGAAATCAGAAAATAAGATCAAACTCTCCTCACTTCCATATATGGCAATACATGTATTAGTGACTGGAATTGTACAATACTTTGTTGAAACAATGAAACCTCATCAAAGCAAAGCGTTATTTGGGACCAGAAGAAACTTGGTAAGTTTATCTAAAATTTTAAAATACGGTATATTGCATTAATTTTATGCACTGAATATTCTTCGAAGACTGCAGAAACTGTGCATAGACAAATGGTATGATTGAGTAAAGACAGAATACCAAAATATGAGGTTATGTGTCCGCATGCAAAATAATGAGCGTGGAGGTGAATATATGAAGTGAACCAAGGAAACTGTGCGACATCTATGAACAATCCGCACACACGCGCGCGCGCGGCAAAAACAGCAATAATCAGGGGACGCACTTTTCGAGAAGATGCTTGTATTTGTCGGCCCAGGTTCGCTTAACAGCCACCTTCAGGGGAACAGTACCTCTGCTCTCAAACTTTGGCTTGCCCAGCAACATCTGAAAAGTTTTTTTGAGGTTCTCCGACGGCATCGGCTTCCTGTTGCATTAAAAACCCCCCACGACCCGAGGGAACGAAAAGAAAAAATAGAGAGCCATGTTGAGTATAGCTGCAAAATCCGAAGCGATATTATACAGGGTGGAGCAGAAACAATAATTGAAGAGCGATTCTACCAGTGATATACTCTGGCAATAAAGTTTCACCTACTGTACATCACAAAGACAAACAGTTTTACTTTAACGATGTATTTGTGCTAGGACAGTTGAACACCTTTTCTCGAGTCAAATTGGAGGAGAAACTGGAATTTGATTTGGGATTTTTTTTAAATATAACTTCAAACATGGTAAAACGCCCGACAAGGTCAGAAAAGGAACATCTTAAATATTAAAAATAAAACCTTGAATGATAATGAATTCAGATCTTGAAAAATAAATAATTCATATCTTGAAAAATAATCATGCCTTGAATAATAAATTCAGATGCTGAAAAATAATTACAGCATTCAAATCTTGAATAAAAATTAATTCAGATTCTGAAAAATACTTAATTCATATCCTTGAAAAAATCCTACCTCGAATAATAAATTCAGATCTTGAAAAATAATTACAGCATTCAAATCTTGAATAAAAATTAATTCACATTCTGAAAAATAAATAATTCATGTCTTTGAAAAAATCATACCTTGAATAATTAATTCAGATCTTGAAAAGAAATTCATACCTTGAAAAATAAATAATTTATTACTAGAAAAAAAATCCTACCTCGAATAATAAATTCAGACCTTGAAAAAAATCATACCTTGAAAAAAATCATACCTTGAATAATAAATTCAGATCTTGAAAAATAATAACAGCATTTAACTCTTGAATAATAATTAATTCAGATCTTGGATAATAATCAATTCAGATTTTGAATAATAATTAATTCGGATCTTGAATAATAATTAAGATCTTGAATAATACTAAATAATTCAGTTCTTGAATAATGATTTATTCATAATTAAACAATTAACCAGCTTTAATTCGAAACAATGTTCCCAGTCATTAATTTTAAAAATCTCATCATCAAAATATTATTCATTAAAACATTTTCGCCTATAATCCGCATGAATTTGTTGTAACAATATTTTCCTGTAATAAAATCACAGAAATTTAAATTGAGCCCAAAATTTTAAAATTTTCTTGATTTTTTTTTTTTTTTTTTGCGGACAACCCTGAATAATAAAAATTGCGTTTCACCTGTTGCCAGCTTCACCAGCAGCAGCAGCAACAACAGGATTCGCCTCAGGCGGGGAAGAAGAAGGATCCCGGATGTCTCTTCTGCTGCTGCTGCAACCCGGGATCGTCTAGGCCTAGCACAGGGAATGTGCCGTGGGTAGTAGTAGCAGTAGTAGGAGCACTAGTAGGAGTAGCAGAGGCTGTTGTTAGAGTCGATACGGTCGGTGCATTCCCTAGAGGTGTTTCAGGGGCATTTTCCCCATCATGTTGTTGAAGACGATGTCGTCGTTGCACGCGGAAATCGTTTCTGATACCTTTTCTTCCACTTCCTCGATTGGACTCGGACCCAAATCTCGATTCGATGATGATGAGAATTCTTCTTCTTCTTCTTTTTCTTTTTCTTCTTCTTCGACTTCGAATTTGGAAATTCCTGGGTCGTCGTGGGGTTCGGTCGAGAAGGTTTCGTCCAAGGCATTATTGTTGTCGTTGACGGGTTCGTCGACTGGCAAGTGATGGCTGGTGCTGCTGCTGCTACTTTGCAATAGCCCCTTGGCCAATGCTTCTTCCACTGGAACACAAGAAGGGATCCATTAGCGGTTGTTTTTATTTTCCAAACATTGAAAGCCAGGCTCCGATTTTCTCGCATGATGCGCGTGACGTTTTTTGCCCGGAAATTGAAATAGGAACAGAAATACTTTTCCGAGACAAACAAGGCATGAGTCACTTAGTGATGCGAAAAACATTTCGAGAGAATAGTATTTTCAATAAAACGCGAACAAAATATTATTTTTCCAAAATTTAGCAAGGACAATTGCCACCAGATAAAACAACTGCAAAAAGATTCGGGGGGGGGGGGGGAATAATGCATCAGTGAAATACATGTGAAAGTTGTTTATAAGCCATTAAAGTTACAAACTTAAATTTTAAAAATGATATTGAGCAAAAAATGCCAGTAAACAAAAATGCAAAAAAATATTGGGGGAGGGAGGGAAATAATACAGCAGTAAAATACTGTACATGTAAAAGTGTGTCAAGCCACTCAAGTTACAAACTAAAATTGAAAATGAAATCAGAATGCATGTATGGTTTTAAATCTTTGATAAACTTAATATGAACTGAGACAAAATTGTGGCACAAAGACTTTTTTTTGTTTTTAGAGCAGACATTTTTTTCCCTTTTTTAGACTTCTAGCTGGAGCAACCAACATTTCTTTTAATAAAATCTTCAATTTGGAAGAATAAGATTGAATAATTCTCATTACAGTACAGTGACCCCACAGTTGAAAATATTTTGTTAAAAACCAAACTTTGGACAAGAAACAATTTTGAAAAAAATCCCTCAATGTGAGAATAACATTTTAGAAGGAAAATTGGAAGGACAATAATGATAAAAATCATGCATTTTTGGTACTCAATTTCCAATTTGTACCTCCTGTCACCCCAATACAATAAAATCTCATTACAACAAAGCCATTAGGATTAGGAGCATTATAAAAAAAAACCTCCTGCAGAAACAAATCTGTTGTCAGCAATAATTTATCATTATGAGATTTGTTGGATCAAGATTCTAAAGTATTCAAAAAACTGGGGCTTCCAATTGCTATTGTTGTATTCATCTTCCCAAAGGATCATCTCTCATTTCACAATTTAAAATGTTCAATTATCTTTTGGGCTAATTTCTTCAACATTGAAGTTTTCAATTATTTTCATTGCATAAATTTCATAATTGTTTCTAACTTTTATAATCATTTGCAATGTATAACTTCTAAAATGATTTTCAATGTATAACTTTCATAATTATTTGTAATGAATAACTCTAACAATTGGGCAGTTTTTTAACTTTATGGAACAAATATTTGCCAGAAATGAAGAAAAAGTAATGTACTTACTCAGCAGCTCATTGGAAGCTTCCCCTTCAATAAATGCCCCAGCTTCACCAATGGTTCCTGATGGATGCTGATGCAATTCCTGGTTCCAAAAAACATCTTGTCTTGGCTCAAAGGGAACCAGAACATATGCATCAGCATTGTAACTTCCTGCCTTGAGTAGACCCAGAACCATTTAGACTCACCGATGGTAACCGTGGTACCATGTCAGTAGGTCTCTTCAACGGTACCAACCATCTCGACCCATCGACGTAAAAAGAAGTTCTTTGTGTTAAGGTGTTTTACATCAGTAAAAAACCTTTTTTCACTTTTATACAAGAATTATCTTTTACATCTTTAAAAATATGGTGAATTGCTTGGGCAAACATTTTTAACATGACTAGCCACTCTAAGGAACACATTATAAATTGTGTACAAGGGTTCCATGTCCTTTTGAAAAACTGAATAAGTTGACAAAATGAAGTTTTGATTTTGTAAACAAGTCTTTGAAAATGTGTGATGTCTATCTTAATTTCTGGTCAATTTTTCAAGCACAAGAACCAGGAGAAAATAGAAAATGGCCAGAAAATAATGAACACATCTTGTAACTGTTTTTAGGTGTTCATTTATAGATTAGGTCAACCTTTGCATCTCTCACTTTCCATATATGTGGGATGAGGAGCTCTGAGAAACTTTAAATAATGATAAGAATTTTATTAACTACTGTATAAAAATACCTTAAGAAAGAAGACAGCTGAAATTTAATGGGGCAATTTTAAAGGAATTTAGGGGGATCCAGGCCGAATTAGAAGGATCATAATCACATACAAAAAATAACAGGACAGCTTTTTATGCTTTGATGCTTCCCATAGGTTATCAAGAAAAGTTCTCCAAATAAATGATTTCTAAATATATATGATCCTCTTGCATGTGTGATATGATACATATGTTTGAACTCCTCAAAGTTGATCAATTCCAGTTCAAAAAAATACTATAGTGCATTTGTGGCTTGCAGCAGGACCTTTGAAAACAATCCCTTTTCAAGTTACAAAGCTTGTTTGCCTCATAGATCTTCCAAGAAAATTGACACAAGGTTCTGCTTATGAATTTTACAAATGTTTACACTCACCATCTGGTTGACTTTCAGAGACATCGCAGGGGTAGTAGTTGTGGGGTACCAGAGACTGCATGGATTCAGGCTGAGGTTCAGCCATGACAGCTGAATCAGAAGCAGGATACTTCCATTCACATTTCACAGCACTGGGGCTGTAAGTGGTCACCACTTCTCCACAAACAGGCTCAACTTGGAAAGAAGCTGCTCTGCAACATGCCCAAGGAACTCCATCCAGCAGTTTTTCATTTGACAAGCGCTGATCCACACCTGTGCCAAATTTGGGGAAGTAAAGATTGGAAATTGGGTGCAAAAGGTGTTTGGACCAATTCATCAAGGACAGTGCATTCAACAAAAAGTGTGTGTGTGTGTGTG